GATATAGGATTCGGGTGTGAAAATCTCATTGCTGATTGTTGCAGAAATGATTCACTTTAATGTTGATAGAGTGTCCCTATTCAAGCAAATATTTAGTTAATGGACCTAGGCCAGTCTAATTGTCCCACCAAAAACTAGTATTTTCTTTGTATATATTCCAAATCATGTTGGGTTCAACTGTGCTTCTAATTCAGGTAAGATCTTTCCACATGGGGAATTTGCGAGACTTAAATTTTTGGAAATAGGGTGAGCAATCATACAATATTTTGCTTTAGTGAACTTGGACCATAGTGAGGCCTGCACTCTAAACCTCCACCATTTCTTTGTATATTAGTAGAAGAACCCTAAAAGAATATAGCAAAATGTTTCTTCATGAGTTTTATGATACCTTGTGGAGGAGTAAGCGTAGTGATAGTATAGATAGAGAGTGAATAAAGTACATGTTTAACTAAGATTATTTTTTCACCATATGATAACATGTCACTTTACCATTCACACAATCTTTTAATCACTCTAAAGAGTATTTTCTCAATATATATATTCATTTTTTTCCTATCAACATAAACTGGACAACCCAGGTAATCAAAAAGGAAATCTCTGTTGAGAAGACCAATGACACTTTTGATCTTGTTTATTCTAGTGGGGCCTATACCTGCATCAGTGAGAAAAAAACACTTAGAATTCATTTTTTCCCCTGAACTTTTTACATACATGTAAATTTGCTTCATTACCATTTTAATGGATTTGGTGCTCCCGCTAGTAAAAATGACAATATTATCAGCATATGAGAGGTGATTGATAGTAGGTTTTATGTGAGACATTGAAAAGGATAAGAACTGGTCATTGCCAATAAAATTATTAAGTAATCTAGCTAACACTTCAACTCCAATAATAAATAGAGAGGGAGCGAGAGTGTCACGCCCCAAGCCTATACCCTGAAAGTGGTTGACACTCGAGAACCATTGTTGGTCCCCAAGCTAACCCTTGGCCTGACTGACTACTTAATAAAAGACCGACTCAAGCAAATACAGGCTTTAAAAGCTTAAATAACTCACTTCTCTCAAAATACTCAATTTAAACTGTCTGAAATATACTGAATGAAAGCAGTAAGAGTTTGCAAAACATCTCAAAAGAAATGCTAAAAGACTTCCAATACTTTCTATCTATGAAGCCTCTATTGTTCAAGATGATGTCAGGTCAAGACCCACGAAACGCCAAACAACCAAACTGGAAATAAAAATGGAGTCCTCTGGGAGCAAGGAGGTCTCACCAAAAGTTTTCAATGAGTGCAAAGTGATATCAATGAAGCGCATGTTGATGATTTTGAACACCTATATCTGCATCATAAAATGATGTAGGTCGAATGACATTAGTACATTGAATGTATAAGTATGTAATATAGCCGAAAGAACAATAGATGAACTGAAAAGGCTGAAACAGTACTCAATTGGATGTAAAACATAAATAGAGATAAGATAATTTAAAACTTTACAGCATAAAATATGCTAACATACTGAACAGTATATATGAGTATAATAAAAAAGATACTTTTTACCCTAATATAAGTATAAAAAAAAAGATTATTTGAGAGTTTTTATAACTGACAACCATCACTATGAGACTTGTGATGATACAATGTCTTGCCCACACTGTTAGAACTGTCATATACCTTATCGGGGTATAGAACAAACTCAACTCATGAATCCACTATAAAGTTTTGGTCAAAGGCAGTGAGGATTCGCCTGAAAGTTGGTGTGATCCTAACCCACACTAGCTACGTGATTTATGGAGAATGTGAGTTGTCTGAACTCTTCTTCATATCAGTGTTCAATACTACTCCTAAAATATTTAGCTCAATACTCAAGTAAAAATACTCTATATGAGTTAATATAAGTTCTCAAAAGGACCTCTTGAAGAGGTAATTGCTGTGTATTAACTCTTTCTGAAAAACTGTTATACTTTTCTGAAATTAGTGTTCTCTTTCTCCATGTAAAAATGATAAATTTGAGAATCATTTAGTTCCCTTTAACTCTACTAAAAAAATTATACTTTAAATTTTTCTCTTGAACTCACTTTTAACTTCTCAAAATCAATTTAAGAAAAAATATTTGATCAAAAGATTCTCAATGAATACTTAGGAAATGGAGTTCATGTGGGAATATAAACATGAACACCAACTCAAAGATCTCAATGCATAATATATAACAACTTATAATTAAGAACTTAGAACTCATAATCAATAATATAACTTATCTCAGAAATTCTCGAAACTAAGGGTATTACACTATATTAAACTTTTACAAATTGAATTTATATGTACGGTGTGAGAAAGAACTCAGTCCATCACTATAATTAGCCTTACATACCTGGAATATTAAAGCTCTTGGCCAAACTGAAAGAACGCTTGAAAACCCTAGCTTTATCCTCTTGGATCCTTGCTCTAAGACCTGGAAGTGTTAATAAGAGTAATATGGTTGGTATAAAAATGTTGGGGTTTAGGATTAGAAGGGGCGAAAAAAGATTGAACTATCTTTCTTAAAAATCTGTCAAAAACCTTCCACGGCTCCATCTACTGTTTGTGGTTTGATCTATCCGTGGAATTCATATTGACATTTTAAGGCTCAGAAGTTTATTCTATGGTCTCAAACTATGACCCGTAGAAATTTCTACGACCTGTAGATGGGTCCGTATGAATTGGACCCTAAAATTTGAATCTCAATACTTTTTCCACAAGTAAACCGTACGGGTCGTAGCTCTTTCTAAAACTCGTAGAAGGGAGTCAATGACTCAGAAAATCATGTTGTGGTAGTCTCTTGTAAAATGGTCATAGCTTATTACAACAAACTCAAAATGAGGCAAGCTTGGTGGCGTTGGAAAGAGGAGTCATAGAACTTTAATTTAATAGGTCACGGGCCACAAAATTCATTATTTAATGAGAGATATGATCATTTGTAGTTGATCTGAGTAGAATCTTATATCAAAACTTAATCGGTAAGGAAGTTTTCAACTCAACTTTGTGCTAAGGGATTCTTGTGACCTTAATTCATATCCAAATTCATTCCCACACTAAATAAATGAGCTTAAAACATAAGAAAAATTTAGGAATCACCTGATACGATCTTACACACAAATACAGAATAATTCAGACCTTAGCTTAAAAAAATTTGGGGTGTTACAGAGAGGATCACCTTGTTTTAGGCCTTGGGAGGATGTGAAGAAACCATTTCTAGCTCCATTAATGATGATTGAATACCGGACATTATCAATGGTACCCATGAACAAATTAATAACATCCGTACTAAAATCAAATTTCCTAAAACCTACACAAATGAAAGACCATGACATTCTATGGTTAGCTTTAGTCATGTCATGATTAAGCACCACATTGCCACCTAGGTTCTTAATCTTTATGCCCTGAACAATTTCTTGAGTAAGCAATATATTTTTTCAGTAATAAGTCTACCTTTTAAGAAATGTCATGTTTGGTAGGATAACATAGTTCGTTTGCATTTATGGGGTTCCTAATGAATTCTGAGGACCCATTTTGAGAATGTTTCACCTTAGCTTTTGGTTGATGCCAAAGATGTTGGTGTGACTGGTTTAGCAACACCCATGCCGCTTTAGCGGTGGTAGGCCATCTGGGGCTTTACTGCTTAAGCTGTGTTTTGACAGCTTTAGCGGTGGTCGCTTAAGCGGTCACTTGACCGCTTTTGTGACCTTAGCTGGTGTAAAATTCCATTACTATTCTTTATTTCCTTTAAAAGTCATTGTTGAAAGAGAATCCTCTTCCTTCCCACTTTCTAATACTAATTCTAGCCTCATTTCCGTATTTTATTTTCATTTTGAACCTCAATTCCTATAATCTCGATTTCTTAAGATTCAAACCATTTGGGTCGTATTAGCTTTCTCTTGACTTCTGCATGTTTGATGCATCAGTTAGTTTAATGTTGATTTGTCATTAAGCTTTAAATTCTAACTATTCATCCACCATTTTGATATGCATTAATTGAAAGAATAGTAGTAGCTATTAATTAAGTTTATTTCGTTTCCATATGCTGTTTGAATACTGCGAACCGTACTTTATGGATTCAATGAATATATTTTATTCATGACAAGTAAAATAATAATTCTCATTTGTGTTTTTTAAGTTGTGCATTAAATGGTTTCTTAGTATAATACATAGCTTGAGTTGGCTTTGATCAATTTAGGATTAATATGATTACTTCTCCTTCGATGTGAGTTTCATTTTATAGTTTCTTTAGATCTATGTAAATGATTAAGACCTACTAGTTGCATGAGTTAGTTACATTTAAGCTTATTCCTTTCTCGATTATAAAAGTCTTAGCATGCTAATTTGTGCTCTGTTTCTTTTGTTTTTGAAGGTTTTAAAAACCTGTTTAAGCTTAAATAATACAAAGGGAAATCAAAGACTGTGCATAAAACAAAAAAGACGAGAGCGAGAGAAAAAGAATAGAAGCTAAAGAAGTAGAGTTTTACTAATACTTCAGATTAGATATATAAGAGCCTAGAATGAAAAGTAAAAAAATAATAACACACGATCTAGCAGTTCACTTAACAACTCCTAAAAATTAGGAAAGCATGACTAACAACTGATTGACTAAGTCTTACTTAAAACATAGGCAGTAAAATTAAATTTATTGCAGTTCAAAAGAAGATTCCTAACACTCATCCTTGCTTTGGATACTGCAAACTCCAATTTTCTGTCTAAGAAGCTTGAATTTGCTGATCGGTAAAGGCTTAGTAAATAGATCTGCTAGCTGGTTTTCAGACTTGCAGTAGACTAGAGTCACTTCTCCCCTTTGCTGCACTTCTCTCAGGAAATAGAACTTGATGTTGAAATGCTTGGTCTTCTTGTGAGACACCGGATTGTTTGAGATTGCAATAGCTGCCTGGTTGTCGACAAGAATGATAGTACTTTCCTTCTGTTCCAAATGTAAATCATACATGATCTTTCTAAGGCACAAGACTTGGTTTACTGTTCATGTTGCTGCTATGAATTCAGCTTCTACAGTTGATTGTGCAACAATTTCCTGTTTCTTAGATGACCATAAGAATATTCCTGAACCTAGGCTGAAACAATGGCCAGAGGTACTTCTCATATCATCTGCGGATCCAGCCCAATCACTATCTGAGAATCCAAGTAACTTGAAGCTTGGACACTTCTCAAACTTTACACCATAGTCAATAGTACCTTTGATATATCTTAATATTCTTTTTGCTACTCTTAAATGCATTTCACTTGCACAGTGCATAAAACGAGATAAGAGACTTACAACAAATAAAATATCAGGCCTTGTTGCAGTGAGATACATTAAGCATCCAATCAAGCTTCTATAATAACCTTTATCAACTTTGTCGGCTCCATCTTCTTTACAGAGCTTCTCTTTTTTATTCATCGGTGTGCTCATCGACTTGCATTCCTCCATTTGAAATTTCTTCAGAATTTCCTTTGCGTATTTCTTCTGGCAAATGAACACTTCACTTTTGCTTGGCTTGATCTCCATTCCAAGAAAATAGGTCATAAGACCAAGATCTGTCATTTCAAAAATTTGCATCATTTCTTCTTTAAACTCCTCAACCAGCCTTGTATTATTTCCTGTTACCAAAAGATCATCAACATAAAGCGACATAATAAGGATATCAGTGCCTTTATGTTTTACACACAAAGTGGATTCAGATAAGCTTTTTTCAAAGCCCAATCTTAACAGATGATCATCTATCCTACTATACCAAGCTCTTAGTGCTTGCTTTAGGCCATACAGAGCCTTTTTTTAGCAGATAGACTTTGTGTTCATCACCGTGTTTCACAAATCCTGATGCTTGCTCGACATATATATCCTCCTCCAGTATGCCATTTAAGAAGGTTGATTTGACATCGAGTTTGAACACTTTCCATTCCATTTGTGCTGCTATTGCAAGTAGCAATTTGATTGTGTCTAATCTTGCAACATGAGAAAAAGTGTCAGAGTAATCAACACCATAAATTTGTGCGTACCCTTTAACTACAAGCCTCGCCTTGTATTTGTTGATGGAACTATCTGCATTTAACTTTGTTCTGAAGACCCATCTCACACCAATGACTTTTCTATCTTCAGGTTTGTCGACCAGCACCCAAGTTTTATTTTTCTCAATCATGAAGATCTCCTCCTCCATTACTTTCTTCCATTTTGGGTCTTGAAAAGCTTTTACGGGACCAGCAAGTTCATAGATGGCGACATTACACCTCTGATAGATATCTGACAACATTCTTCTCCCCTTGACTGGATGATCATCTTCTTGTTCTTGCTGCTAGTGTTCTATTTTTTGCTCTTCAGGAGAGCTGATGTTTGCTTCTAGAGAACGTTTTCCTGATTTCTGAGAGTTCTTCCAGTCCCACTGTTCGTTCTCACTAAAATGAACATCTCTTGTAATTGTCATCTTTCCTGTTTGAGGATGATAGACCTTGTAGGCTTTAGAAACTCCACTGTAACCCACATGGATGCCTATGATTGCCTTCTTGTCAAGTTTGTCACGTTTAACCTTAGGAACATGAACAAAACAAACACAACCAAACACTTTAAGAAAACTTAGTGAAGGCTTAAACCCGTACCAAGCTTCAAATGGTATTTTATCCTTCAAAGCTTTCGTTGGAAGTAGATTCTGCATAAAAACTGTGGTATTTGCTGCCTCTGCCCAAAATATCTTAGGCAACTCCTTCTCATGCAACATACATTTGGTCATCTCCATTGTCCATCTATTTCTTCTTTCACTAACACCATTTTGTTTTGGTGTGTATGGTGTTGTAAGCTGATGCACAATGTCGGCCTTCTCACAGAATGAATCAAATTTTGTTGAAGTGTATTCCTTCCCATTATCAGACCTCAAAGCTTGAATCGTACAATTACTTTGATTTTCCACCAATTTCTTGAATTTCCAGAATACACCACCAACAACTTCTAACTTGAATTTCAAGAAAAAAATCCAATACATTCTTGTCAAATTGTTAATGAAAATAATGTAATAGATGCTACCTTGTAGTGATTGAGCTCTTTGAGGCCCTTCGACATCAGTGTGAACTAGTTGTGGCTTTTGTGAGGCTCTCCAGGTTGATTTTGGAAATGGCTTTCTGTGTTGCTTACCAAATTGGCAGGCATGACATTCAGTGGAATTTGCTTCCAGATCAGGTAAGCTCTCCACCATCTTCAACTTTTGCATTTTGACAAGCCTTTGATAATGATAGTGCCCGAGTCTCTTATGTCATAACTCAGCAACATTTTCTTTTGTTGAATACAATATCTGCTCTTCCTCAAATAGATCTAATGAGAAACTTTTTCCTCTCATTTTGACTTTAAACAAGTCATGTCCCAAGGGATCCTTGATGAAGCAATTTTTATCTTCAAAATAAAGTTTGAAACCTTTTTCTAACAATTGACCAACACTTAACAATTTTTGGTCTAAGTCTGGTACATAAAGAACATATGCTATTGTTTTTGTACCTACTTGTGTCTCAACTGCAATAGTTCCCATTCCTTTTACTGGAATGTGACCACCATGGCCTATTCGAACATTTGTAATTCGAGTAGGCTCCAATTATTTGAAGAGTTCTTTATCATGAGTCATGTGATTTGTGCATCCGCTATCAATCAACCACGACTCGCTAGAAACATTGCTTGCAAAACATGATGCAACAAATAGTTGATCCTCTTCCTGTTCATTTACAACTCGAGCATCTACATCCTGCTGCTGAGTTTTGTTCTTACAAATGATTGCTTTATGCCCAAACTGATTGCACTTACTGCACTTAGCTTCAGGCCTTCTCCAACACTTGAAAGATGCGTGTCCAATCTTGCCGCAATGCTTACATGGAGGGTAGTTTCCTTTGAAGCTACCTGTTTTTTTTTTGTTGTTGCGTGTTGCACCTTCTCCATCTGTTGGTTGGTACTTCTTGTTCTTCTTTTTCTTATATCGTCCATCCTCATGATGCTTGGCAGGTAAAGCTCCATCGACAGCTCATTCTTGTCTCATAACACGTCGTTGCTCTTGTTCTTGAAAGGCACTTAAGAGCTCTGTTAGTGTAATACTGGACAAGTCCTTAGTATTTTCTAAGGTTGTAATGGTCGCCTCAAATCTTTCGGGTACCGTTACAAGGATTTCCTCAACGATCCTTGAATCGTTAAAAGTGGAACCCAACAATCTGACGTGATTGGCAATGTTAAGAAGTCGGTCAGTGTATTCCTTTATGGTTTCACTGTCCTTCATCTTTTGCAACTCAAACTCACACACCAAATTCAGCACTTGCATCCCTCGAATTCTCTCATCTCCTTCGTACTTAGTCTTAAGATAATCCCATACCTCTTTTGCCGACTTCAGAGACATGATACGAATGAAGATAGTGGATGAAACTGCAGCAAATAAACATGCCTTTGCCTTTGATTTCCTAATTTTCCTTTCCTGGTGATTTTTAATTTGCACCATCGTGGGATTGTTTGGAAAGGGAACTATGATGTATTCATGTTCTACAACCTCCCAGAGATCCAAAACTTCCTGATATGCCTGCATTCTAACAGCCAGATTCGATAACTTTCTCCACCAAAAGTTAGTGGTGCCATTGAAGAAAAACTTGCTTCTCCGTTCATGGTATTCACGAAATTTGATTGGCACCCACACACACAGGTCCCTTAAGAAATAAATCTTTGATACCAATTGAAGGTTTTAAAATTTTGTTTAAGCTAAATAATACAAAGGGAAATCAAAGATTGTGCGTAAAACAAAAAAGATAAGAGCGAGAGAAAAAGAATAGAAGCTGAAGAAGTAGAATCTTATTAATACTTCAGATTAGATATATAAGAGCCTAGAATGAAAATTAAAAAAATAATAACACACGATCTAGCAGTTCACTTAACAACTCCTAAAAAATAGGAAAGCATGACTAACAACTAATTGACTAAGTCTTACTTAAAACATAGGCAGCAAAATTAAATTTACTGTAGTTCAAAAGCAGATTCCTAACCATTTTGAAATGCCATTTGGACTCAAGTCTCCATCAGTTGCATTTTCTTTGTTGGGTTTGGGCCCAACATTCTCTAAGTCAACATCATTCTTATTCAAGAAAAATAAAGTTGATATCAATCCATGAAAGGGAATCATATATATAGGAAACAGAGATGATATACGAGCCTATATAAATACAATATATAGAATATGTAGATAATATACACTCGATATACATTTCGTGTATACACTATGAAAATGGGCCAAAAGCCCAATCAGCAGCTGAAGGCCCAAGTTTTGATCCAAGCGGATAGAAATTAGACTTGGGCCTATATAAGACAAAAATTTAAGAATTTCATCGTGTAAGGAGCAAACTACATCTTATCCCTATTCTTTTCCAATTTACAAAAATCTCCTAAAATTGTTGTCATCCGGATACATCTCATTCTTCCAAATACATCACATTTGATACATTATACAACTAGTTTGTTGAGATTAAAAAAAATAATAATAATAATAATAATATATATATATAAAAAAAATTAATGTTAGTTCCTCAAATCATGCAAACCAAATTGATGTCAATCTCTATCAAATAACAGGTACAAACAATTCAAATTACAAAATTTTCTTCTCTCAAACCTCTCCCAAATTGTAACAGATTAAAATAAAAGTCGACAACATGTGATACAAAACAATATCTGATACATAACTATGTTATATACATAACAAAGGTATGTGTCATATACATAACTATGATTATGATATAAACTGATTTTGCTATAAAACATTAGTGTTTATATGTATCAATAGTAATATTTGATAGTGTCTACAGATACATAGTCTTCTAGTTGAATAAGGTTGGGTGTAGTAAAAGATAACGAAATTTGTAATAGTTGTGTATCCAATGCGTAACTATGAACATGATACATATTAATTTGTGTTTCAATAAATTAGGGTTATGTATCAAAACTAATATTTGAAAAAGATAAGTGTACATGATAAAATTGTAATGTATCATAAATGTGAAAGGAATGAATTCATCTAGATACATTAAAAGATAAAGCAACAAAAAAAAATCAACAATTTGATATTCTAAAAGCAAAAAGAAAAATTGATGAAGAAATCCTTCCACACTTTCTCATTTGCTATGTATCAATTCTTGTAGCTTTTTTTCACTTTTAACAATGACATCACCCATGGATCTCGACCCAAAGCCCTTGTCGGAGCCACCAACAACTCTTGATAAAATTGTAATGTTTCATAATGATGAAACGAAGGTATTATATATTAATTTAAGAAATAAAAACAACTAGATACATTAAAAATTGAACCCATAATCTGATCTGTTGAAAGCAAAAAAAAAATGATGAAGAAATCCTTCTACGTTTAAGATCATGAATTTTGTTAACATGATTGAGTATTTATGAGTTTCCATTGTGTAGATCCAGGATTTATGGCTTGAGTCGTAGTTATGAGATCTAATGAAGAATCCAATTAGGCGATCTAGATTGGATTTCCAGATGTTGAAAGTGAAGTTAATTGAGTTTGTATCGGGTTCGATGTCATCGTCACAGATGAGGGCGGATCGACTGGTGATGAATGGGTGAGGGTGGAAATGGAGGTTGAGGCTGGAGGAAGGTAGACAGAGGATGATGATTGGTGTGATAGAGAGGGAGAGGTTTTGGGAGAGATTTGAGAGGATTTGTAGCGGAGTTGAAAAAAATGGACGAAGAAGAAGATGAAGAACTACTTCTTTAATAACTTGCAAGCGATAAATCGGAAAGATAAAAGATTTGAAATTCAAAAATAGAGTGATGGATATAATTGGTGATACCATGGAGTGATTTTAGGCGTGAAAAAGGGAAAAAATGGTGGGGATGATAGTTTACAGTGGTGTATCCGGAAAAGTGAGAAAAATTGTGGAAAAGAGGGATTTTTTTAATTTTTTGAAATGATAGGGAATAATAGAAAATAAAGTAAAAAAGGATGTGTAGTTAGGTAGTTTTTTTCATTTTTTTATTCTCTTTATTTGTTTGACTATTTAATTGTAATTTATTCGATTCTTACTTTAACTTTTAGATTAGGTTAATTAAATTTCCCTAAAACTGAATCAATTCTGTTTTATGATGATTTACTTCATTCAACAAATTTTATACAATTTTGACTAAGTTTATGTCACGTCCCGAGTCTACACCCTGGACTGATCGACACTCGAGAACCATTTCTGATCTCCAAGCGAACTCTTGGCCTGGCTGACCATAACTCACATGACTCTAAAGATACGCAGAAGCATAAAATAGATGAGCATTTAGATCTTTAAGAAAACTCTAAAATACTGTCTTGAGAATACTTAACACAATTCATAAGTTAAATCAACATCTTGAGAAAAAAAATCAAAAACCATCTAGTTTTGTCCGTCTATGAAGCCTCTAACAGTTCAAGATAGACGTTGGGACAATACCCATGACACCTCAAATACTACTAAAACTGAAATGGAGAATGGAGTCCCCCGGAAGCAAAGAGGCATCACAAAATACTGTCTACGAGTGTAACGTGATCTCAGTGAAGCGCTTGTTGATGATCCTGGACACCTGTATCTACATCATAATAAGATGCAGGTGGAACGACATCAGTATATTGAATGTACGAGCATGCAAGAAGAACTAAAAATATAGATAATTGAAATGACAAGACTGGAAGAATACTCACCTCAACTCAATTCATTTCAAAAGCAATAACAAAAGATTTACATGTTTAAAGCTCTCTTAATTAACATATACTAACTCAAGGATGTATATAAAAATACAATAAAATACTCTTTACTCTTATTTGAGAGATTCTCCAACCGACAACCATCACTATGAGCTATGTAATGATACAACATCTCGCCCAAGCTGCCAGAACTGTCCTATACCTTTCCGGGATATAGAACACCTCAACTAAGTGGATCCACTAAGCTATGCTTACAATCAATAAGGAATCGTCTAAAAAGTACGATCTTTTACCCATGTTGGCTACATAGTTTGTGAGGAATGTGAGTTGTCTGAACTCATCCTCATATCAGTGCTCAATATTACTCCCAATAATTATATACTCATGCTCAATTTTTTAAAACATTCTCTTTCTCAATTTGAGGTACTTACTAAAAAGATCCTCTTAAAAGAGGTACTTCTCTGAAATATCTCTGAACTCATAAACTCATTTAGAAATCAAGTTTCTCTCTTTAAGTGTAAAAGTGTTACATTTGAGAATACTTAGTTCCCTTATATTCTTTCTCAATCACGAATACGACTCTTCTCACTACTCATATTTTCTCTCTTAGAAAATTAGTTTAAAACCATTGTTGGTTAAAAAGATCCTCAAAATAACTCAAAAAGACTTCTTAAACTTCTCTCTTAAACTCACTTTAGTTTTGAATGTAGATTAAGACATGTTATTAGAACATGTAGGAATTCTCAAGGGTGAATGGATCCTTTAGGATATAATACAAAGAAGGAAAAACATAGTCACGACTTAAAGGAGCACGTTCGGAATGACACACAGAAGGAAATAGGCCAGGCGACCCCTGGCGCACTACTAACGTGGGGTGTCAGGCCCCAAACTACTGGACCAAGTTTGGGGTGCACTGATGGCGCGGGGAGCCAGTCCCCGAACTACTGGGCGTCAGTCATAGCGCCTTGGTGGCGCGCCACCCCATTCCTTACCCATAAAATCTGACGAATATTTCAGCTCAAATTAGCCCCAACTAGTTTAGAATTGAGGAATTCCTCCTAAACTCTTCTTAATTATCAAACCCAACACGAATTCATGGAAAATTTTATACAAACCCTTTTGAAATATAACTTTTACCAAAGATTCACAACACAAAAGAATCAACAACCTCCATTGTCAAATAATTGAACTAACATCAAGAACTACGCAAGAATACTTTAGATACAACAATTTCGTGGATAATTTAGATGTATTGTGTGAGTAAAAACAATTCCAACACTGTGAGAATCCTTACATAGCTGGAAAGAACAATGTTCTTGGCGAAAATCGGCGAAATCTTGACGAACACTTGAAAACTAGTCGTTTCTCCTCTGGGAAACCTATTTCTAATTTCTCTAAGTGTTAAAGAACGTGAAAAGGTGGTTTAGCATCTGATTAGACCCTTAATTGGGTGAAAAAAATGTGGCTAGGCTTAGTGGGAATAGGAAAAGACCAAACTACCCCTCTAAAAATGATTGGGATGCCTTTAAAAGAGAGGCTTCACTCAAACGGGCATAACTTTTTACTTCGTACTAAAAACTTAGCAAACTTAGTGGCGTTGGAGAGAGGGATAAAAGACCTTTAATATGGTAGGTCATTGTCCACCTAACTTTTTATGTGCTAAAAGATATGGTCGTTTGAAGTTGACCCAAACTTAAAACTGATGGGTGACTTGTACGAACTTCTCTTTCTCTTTTCAAAGTGCAAGATGTTATAGTTTGGTTCATTTT